TGCGCGATTGACATAAAAGCCGGAAACTTACCATGGATAGGCTGCGGTTCAAAGAAATTATGCGCCATGGGCTTGATCTTGTCCGTAGTAAGATTTGCGCTCGAGAGGACTCCTGGAAGATCTTGGAGGATCAGGGAGCCGGCTAGCAGGTCCGGGTGCTTCTCTAACAATCTGAGCAGGTCACCGCCATGAAGCCCGCCCATGTCAACCACCAGTGGACTGCCTGAAGAGAGATCCGCGCCATTGATGAGGGATGCTGTATCGTAGAATTGCGGCCATGGAACTCGATACTCTGCCCACTCAGTCATGAAGTGGCTCCAGCTATCCTGATAAGCTTGATTCGTCAAACAACGTTCAAAGAACGGCAGGCCTTCCGGGTATGCGTCACTATAGTTGGAATTTCTTGGGTCTGTAGGTTCCCGATACGACGTCTTGGCTAGAAACGATGGGAAATTCATAGCGGACATATCATAGTGGTGGGCCCTAGAATCATTCAGCTGCCGTTAATTTCCTCAACGAGTGGAACCCTTACCTCGCAATGAGAGCCTGTGCATCGTGAGCGGAGTCATCACCAATGACCAGTGACCAGTCAGTTGGTTTATACTTATCTTCTCCTGTTTCCTCGATGATATTCACAACTCCCAAAAGTCGAAGTAAGCGGCCTTTACACCTGTCAATTTTCTTCCGAAGAATATAGTCTCCTAGTAATACGTACGAAGCAGGTTCAAATCGCAATCTTTCGTAGTCAATTTGGCTAGGTCCTCGAGTGACTTCTCCCCTCCACCAGCCGCAGTCCATCCACGCCAGAGGCCGATGTCAATGAAGTTTTTCAATGCGGCATATACAGCTGGGTCTTGGAAAGTGACTTTACACATCTTTTCTTCCTTCGTTTCCAGACGGCTCAAGAGCTTCCGCGCGCTTGTTAACAATTGCAACCGTTCAGACTCACGACCCTCGAAGTCGGCGGGCGTAATGGCCTCAAGCCTACCTAGTAACGATTCGAGATTCTCGTCCATTTTGTTAGCATTGAAGGTGTAATAGAATGTGTCAGAACTGGATGCGTCTCGCCGAAAGTGGGTGTGCCATCGGTTTCTATATAATCACTCCGTCCCGGTACCCCTCAACCAACGTTGCAACCATGATTATGTCTCAGGTCAAATGATACTCCTGAAGGATCGTGCTCAGATAACGGGTAATATACAACCACATTATACGACTAACACCCCTTTCTCATTATCACACATCTGACTGTCTTCGTGAGCCTTCAAACCCAATCAATACGTGATTAACTTGCCTAAGCCTCCACACATCCAGCGCCACTGTGTCAAGCGTGTAACCAAAACCAAGATGTGTCAAAAAAGCTGCCTAGATCATATAACCAATAGAGGATGACGGCGATGTAGTCGCCCGTGGTGCAACCAACTCCATATCGTCACTTAATAATACCGCGCTCATCATGTGACAGTATCAGAATGTGGTTACATACATACTTGCACCAACATGAACATAGCCAGCTGACCATACCTATTTCCGAAAGAAGTGCCGAATCCACCAAAGAGAATAAGCACTATACAGTTGATTCTCTCTTCCAACACACCAACAACCTATCAACTAGGCAGAGAAAGTAAACATTTTGATAACCGCATCTAGATAAGTAGATGTACAAGCTTAGGTACATATCTCCCTAACTAGCCTTTGGGCATACGTACGCGTTATTTATTTCCAGTCCTTTAACTGGAAGTTTATCTTGTGTAATAGTATAGGCTGGACTGCGCCATCCCGGTTCAAGTATTATTTGGACGAAAAGATTATTTTGAGCCACCAATTCGGTTACCTGTTAGCTCATATCTAGTATTCTGTAAAATTGCCTAATTAAATAATCTCCTATAGAAACTGGCTCTGAGTATGTTGACCGGAATCCCAGGAACTATGATCGAATTTCCTATGGCAGGACGGCATCACGGCCGAGTTATATATGTGATCATCAGCGTAAATAGTTTCTTATATCCTTGGAATAACATATATCTAGGAAAGGGGAGGCGATGAAGGGATACACTTCCAGAGCCCGCATAGCCCACTTGACGGGCTGGCCTGGTACGCCGTAGATAAATTTATCCCCTTAGTGAAATATGTCGGTCTTTCTTTATTGAATGGTACGTTACAGAATACCTCTCGAAAGCTTTAAGTCAAGCCATCGAAATAGAGCCGGAGGGTTGTTAGAACCTCATTCCTCTAATTACAAGTAGTCTTCGGCTTTTAACCCCTCTATGGGGAGTTATGAAGTGAGTAAGCACTTGGTATCAAACTAGAGGATGGCTATGGATGCTCATTCATATCCCCCTTTCTCAACTGCCACTGAATCGTGATGACAAGCGTTTTGGTTACCGCTTAGGTCTGATAGCGAGAATGGTAGGTAGATAGTATTTCGAAAGAGTGTCGATTTGAAGATGCTTATCAATTTTTAGTGTCGGTGTGGCGGAGGTGAGGCTAGGTGTGGCGGCAAAGATGTACCGCAGCTGCGGCATCGGCCAAAAATAATGAAAAAAACGCCCTTGGAATTGAGCCTAGGTTATTTCTAACATCACAACAATATCCATCTACCCCTACCACCAAGTCACCTGGACCGAGGAGCAATAGAAATAACGCTCTCTCCCATATCTGTAGCCATGCGCGCTGGCGCCTGTCGAGTTCCTCGACTATCTACGTCAATTGCGCCTACTCTGAGTCCGAGTCGATATGTCTTTGGCCGATGCCATGACTACCAACTCGACAACGCCCGAAGGCTTTCGTGTATAAGTAGCCTGGCAGCTTCACCCGCTCTCAATCGCACCTATTCTACGCGAAAGTATGCTCGGCAGGCTATAGCAAGCATTGACGCTGAACGTGTGCGCCAGCACCGACGAGGTTACGCCACTACGACAAACCCTAACCCTCCCTTTGGCAAGAAGCATGCCTCGAATGATGTCCCGTCTCGTATTGGCTTGATTGGAGCGCGAGGATACACCGGCCAAGCCTTGATTGACCTCTTCAATGGGCACCCCTTCATGGACCTTCGGCATGTGTCCTCGCGAGAGCTAGCTGGCCAACAACTTCAGGGATATAATAAGCGCAAGATCACTTACGAGCATTTATCGCCTGATGATGTCGCTCAGTTAGATAAGGACGGCCAGGTTGACTGCTGGGTTATGGCTCTCCCTAACGGTGTTTGTAAGCCTTATATTGAAGCCCTCGATCAAATCCACAAGGATAGCGACCGTAAAAGCGTCATCATCGATCTATCTGCCGATCACCGATTCGACAAATCATGGACTTATGGTCTTCCTGAGCTTACCAAGCGCTCCGAGATTCTCCAGTCCACTCGAATCTCCAACCCTGGCTGCTATGCTACCGGCGCTCAGCTTAGCATTGCTCCCTTGGTTGACCATCTCGGAGGCGAGCCTGTAATCTTTGGTGTGTCGGGATATTCTGGCGCTGGCACGAAGCAGTCTCCCAAGAACGATCCCAAGGTCCTCAAAGACAATCTTATACCATATAGTCTGACAGGTCATATTCATGAAACTGAGATCAGTCACCACCTTGGTCTACCTTCAGTCGCCTTTGTTCCACATGTAGCCAGCTGGTTCCGTTCTATCCATCTTACTATCAACATCCCTCTAAACAAGACGATGACTTCGCGCAACATTCGCCATCTTTACCAAGAGCGCTATGCTGACGAGCCACTGGTCAAGATCGTGGGTGAGGCACCATTGGTGAGATCAGTTTCCTCATTACATCACTGTGAGATAGGGGGCTTCGCTACCGATAGCAGCGGCAAGCGTGTGGTTATGTAAGTGATCCATCAACAACCACTGGAAGGTCTAGTTATACTAATCATAACCAGTTGCTCAATATTGGACAATCTCAATAAAGGAGCAGCCACTCAATGTCTACGTAAGTGTTTCCCTTGATTATAACCTTTAACGGTTTACTAAAAAAAAATTATTAGAGAACATGAATCTTGCGCTTGGTTATGCGGAGTTTGAGGGCATTCCCACTTCATCAAGCTAAGGACATGGGCCGGCGGTCGATAGGACGGCCTAGGGCAGCTGTTTATATGTGATATGGGAATTACATCTGCACAGATCAATAAGCTGGCATGCGAGTGTCTTTTGTTCTGGATGCGACTTGTTGATATCACCAACTGAGGTAATATTTGGTCGCCGAACCATTTGACCTACTGGCATCTGTGACATGTACTATAACCGTTACTCTAATTGTATATTGAACATCCTTTGAAGTTCTGTTTTCGCTTGTCTTCCGGTAAAAAGCATCACAAGCTGCATAGCGGCCGTTGACCACAGTTGATCCGAGAGGTAGGGTTTTATGGCAGGTGACAGCGATGCATTTCGGTTCCGCGTGTTTCTCTTGGCCTTTATCGTGTTGCTTCCCGGTCGCTTCGCACCGCGCTCATGATTTTCGCCGCCGTTGATTTTGAACGATGAAGTCAGACATACTCCGAGCAAAGGTAGCCGCTAATCGTAATAGGCTCTCCGCAATTCTTGCCAGCCTTCCGCTCACCTCTTCTTTTCCCGAAAAAAATAAGTAGGTCCGCGCACCGCCACCATGAATTAGCAGATAAAGTTTTGCCGCATGTTCGATATTGCGAAAGTTCACCAGCCAGGATCTTATAGAAGGTGATACCATCATATATGGACTTCATGTTATAAAAATAGGTTGCACCACATATTTCAGGGCTAGTGAATATGATGATAACACACAGTCAGTTATATCATGAGTTACTCAAGTAGAGCGGTCGGTATCCAAGGATATTTAGATTGGTAGGTATTTCCCGCAACATACATAGAAAAGTATTATTACAAGGCACAAGGTGTGTCTCCGTAGAGTCCCTGGTATAGCATAGTGAGCATGCCATTTGTTATGAGGGAATCGGTTGACCATGAGATGATTCCCGAGACATATTCTATGCCAGACAAAACGTCTGGATAAAATTGTAAAAGGAACTCCGAATCGGGGAATCGAACCCCGGGCTTGACGGATCACACAATTTCCTGTTGAGAGCGTCAAATGTTAGCCACTACACCAATTCGGATTGTTTGCTGAATGCTTCATGTTGAAGCAACTCATTCACAGATAAAAATTTATGTGTAAATTTTTCTTATATGCCCCAATTTTGTTAGCGTTATAAGAATCCACCTGGTTTGGGTTATCTTAACGAGTGGATGCAAAGAAGAGAACTAAAAGTGGATTACATGGAAAGGGGCTAATAATGGCGGAGGGCAGTCTTCTACCCCTAGATGGCATTGTTGTAAATAAATATGTATGATACCTAGGTTAGACCAGATTAGGTTTCTGTACAGGAACTGTGAAAGTGAAATAAAGAGAACATGGCTAAACGACTAGGTACCGCTTAGCTTACGCGACAGTTTCTAACCATACTTACCTCGAGTATTGGTTACTTACCTAGGTAAAGAAGTCTCTACTGAGTCTTGTAGTCTGACTGAATTGCAGATGGTACCTAAAGTACATGACACCATAGCCTTGTATGCGTTCAATTCTCTACGGCATATCACACGCTAAGTAAATACCTATGAGAAAGAGGCATGAACTAATAAAGCTAGTCGACAGTATCTTGAAAGTTATAAGTGTAAGTTGATTACAGCGTTTATCGTATCCTTACTGTTTACCTAGGTAGAAAGGGAGATGAAGTTAGATGCTTCTCCATATGATGAAACTGCGGTGTTTCCATTAGGTCGATGGAGAGGCACTTGACTTGATGACGCCTCCCCTGGTTATACAACCACCAAATTGTCCGAATATCTACCTGATAAGGCACCTAATATCCCCTGTTTCTAGAGACTGCCGAGCCTTTCGGAACCCGGAAAACCCTTGTAGCAAGGTCAGCCGCGGCTACTACTGAAGCTTCGGGTATCATGCAAGTTGACAAATTGATCATTGAAGCTCTGTCCAATACAATTGATTCGGGCCCTGTATCTTTTCGGCCTTGTTACTGAACTATATAGCCAGGGTTTGGGGATAGGATGGCCACTTCAACCCACTTCAAGAGGTAAACTTGGGTCTAGGCATGCGGTTGGCTACCAAAGTGCCGAGACAACCACGCAGAACGCCTCAAATTATTGACTCCATGTCCCAATAGATATATATACTCTACAATGATAGGCAATGATTGGCAAGATAGGAATCTTGAAAAGCCTAGGATCCAACGGGGAGGGTTGAGGGCCCACGTGATTCGTGGATCGCCGTCCTATCTGCCGCCGCCTAAATCCATTAATATAAGAGTAATTTGAGATTGAACTACCAAAAATACACCTTTAGCGGCATATAGGAGAAGAGGAAGAAGTGACAGAAGTATGTATTTAGGAGTTATGAACCGGGTTATCGCACCAGTCATCCAAGCCTTTCCACTTCGAGCTTTTGTGTCTCACCAACGGTAGTAGCAGCAGCAGCCATTTCGTCCCCAAGATGCAGTGGAAAGCTTTCGCCCTTGCACTCCTCGTGCAGCATGGCTCCGGCCAAGGCTTCGAGATGATGCGATTCAGTTGCTCGCAGCTTGTCGTCGACCGTTTAGACCCGCTGGTCAATCCCGGCATGATCCCGTCGCCGCATCTGCACCAGATCGTCGGAGGTAATTCTTTCAACGCTTCCATGGACCCGGGGGATCACGATCTCCCCTCTCTATCCACATGTACTAGCTGCACCTTCTCAGAAGATTTCTCAAATTACTGGACTGCGGTTCTATACTTTAAGGCTCGTAATGGGACGTACAAGCGGGTGCCCCAATACGCTTCCGAGGGTCTCCGCGCCGACGGCGGCATCACCGTGTATTATATCCCGGCTTCCGATAGGAACACGAAGGTCACGGCCTTCAAACCCGGATTCCGTATGCTTGTGGGAGACGCCGCAGCACGCTCGCCAAGCACGGCACGCAAGGTGTGCCACCGATGTATGCCGGCGACGGGGGACAATAGCAACATAAACTGCGGAGCGCCTGACAGTCAGACCCTACCCAAGGGGTTCTGTGCTGGCGGCATACGCTCGGTCATTACCTTCCCTACGTGTTGGGATGGTAAGAATACAGACAGCGCCGACCACAAGAGCCACGTCGCCTATCCCACTGGATCCAGCGATACTGGCGTCGGTGCCTCGGGTACTTGCCCAACAAGCCACCCGGTAAAGATCCCGCAAGTGATGTACGAAGTGATGTGGGACGTAAGTATTATTCGATCCCCCTGGTTTCCCCATGGGTTGCGAGGCTCGGCTTAAGAGCCTTGTATCGTGCTATAGTGGTTTCGTGGACATTGCTATGGCCGTAGCTCAGCTCCACCATAGTACTGAATGAAGGCAGACTGCTGACTTGGCGTATGCTACAGACCCGACCCTTCAATGATAAGAACCTGTGGCCCGAAGACGGCTCGCAGCCGTTTGTTTGGAGTACTGGCGACAAGTGAGTTTCTCTCCACAGCACGGACAGTTGAGCCATGATTTTAACGTAATGTACAGGGATGGATACTCGCAGCATGGTGACTACGTCTTCGGCTGGAAAGGCGACGCTCTTCAACGTGCCATGGACGCTCGTTGCAACGGAGCCGTCTGCAACCAACTCAAGACGCAATCCTCAGAGACGGCGATGAAGTGCACCAAGCCACGTGTTGTCGCGGAGGACTTCGACGGATGTAAGTGACATCTCCTAACTTCGGATCTTTTGAAGCTCTCATGGGCTTGTCGGGCTAACTTCCTCGTAGGGGTAACGCAAATTCCGGGTATGGACATGACTTCTTAGATCGGCTTTGGCGAGACTTTGGCCTTGGTAGTTGGGACCACGTAGTATTAGAATGTAGCGTTTATGAACATAATCCCGTGCTGGATACGCATGCAAGTGCTGGCCTAGACCTTGATTTTCCGGGATATCTTCCTAGATACTTCATCTTCCTTGTGGTCTGTGAGCATCAGTATGTAGTTTCACTGTATCGTCTAGATTAATCTGGGCTACCTACGCTGCCGGACATTGTTCCCCTTCTGCTTGCCAATGATCAGAAGTTTTCATAGGGCGCAGAGGGCCGTGGTATACTGAGGAATGCCTAGTTGAGAATTCACCAACGCCGACAGGACGGCTTGAGTAATTTGCATCGATTTCTCGTTTTGTAGACTACTACATATACATACACGACTAGTGACCATATATTTACACGCCATCACTTCGTTAGTGTCGAATGTTGTCGCACTGAAACCTGTTGCGATCGTCCAGAGTCAGGATGCTTTTAATTCCATCCGAACCCCTGTAACCCGGTTCCCCTACGCAGACCGAACGAACCAACCCCCCAGCTCAGCCAAGAATTATTTAGAATTTTTAGAAGAGAAAGTAGAATCACCCTTGCCAGTAATGCATGAAACCAGGTTGTACAACGCCCAGATGCGAAAAATAAAACCAAATGCTAAAGACTCCATGCCATGCAGTGTTATGCCTCTTCCATGAACTTTTTATAGACGTGTCAAGTCCAATCGTTTTATCGAATAGAGATGGCCTGGAAAGCCGAAAGGAAAGTAAGAAATGGGTATCATCGCGCCGCGAATGCTAAAGATTAGAAACGGGTTCGAAACATGGTTATGTTCCTGGCGGTGACTGGCAAGTAATTAGGGTGTGTAAATACTGCAGATATTCATCTGCATCGACGAGTCGAGCCCGGAGTAAGTTAATAAGCCTCATCGAATTCCCGAATAGACGGTGTCCAGGAGGAGAAAGACTTGTGCTTAGGTTCGCGTTGAAGCTGAGAAAGAAGGTCGTCCAGGTCGACCCAATTCTCGTCATCGTCAGCAAACTTGCGATGCTTCTTGGACACAATATGCTAGATCAATCGTTAGTATTCATATATAAAAGCTCTTGCGTTTAGAAGACTAAACATACCTCATCAAAGTCGGCATACTTCTCCGCACAATTCTCACAATAACCAGGCTTGAGCTCAGTCTTCTTCGGCGGTGCTGCTTCTCGTTTCTCTGCTCTCGGAGGGACCTTGGAAACACTCTTCGATTCTTTATTGGCTCCGTATTCATCCATGAAGTCCAGCTTCCGACTTGAAGTACGACTCATAGTGCTGAAGGAACGTTTGGCTGGTATTTCATCTCGGAAGCTTATATCAGCGGTCCGACGAGAACTCAAGTCTTGTGAAGTTGCAGTGCTATTGCGCTTCAACACTTGACGCTGAAGACCGTGGACCTCCTTGCTTAAACCGGTTATGACACCTGGGGTAGTCGCCGTTGAAGAGACCATTTGGGATCGAATTGCCGAGGTAACATTCGAAGGCTGAACTCCAGATGCAACTGGCTCACCACCAAAGAGACGACTGGGAGCACGACCAGTGAATGCTTGAGGGCGGGCCTCTGTGGCATGACCGAAGGAAGTCTTGGATGAATTGGAAAATTCGAAGGAGGCAACACTAGAGCCTCGATGATGACCATTTTCCATCTCGCCCAACGAACGCTTTCCAGTTACAGGTCTCGGAGGCTCCATCTTAGGAGGCTGGAGGACTGGCTTGGCCTCTGCGGCGGCCCTAGTCACCTGGACCTTTGGCTTGGGCTGAGGACGAGTCTCTCTCGGTTCATACTCCTCGATGAACGGACAACGACCCAATGCAGCAGTGCGGAACTGAGGCCAGTCTCCCTTCGACTTCTCGGCTACCTTCTTGTACTCTCTAACCATAATCGGTTTCTGCTTCTCCTCAATATCGTATATGTATATGTACGGACCCTTGAAATAATGTAATTCTTGGCCGTTCACGGTGGGGTCTCGGTCGGATGGTCCGTTAACACGTTCGTTGTGAAGCAGATGTAGTAAGTTACGGTCTTCAGTAGTGCGTGTCTCGGTATCCCTCGTCTTACGGGCTCCATACGCGATCTCAGCACTAACATATGGGTCCGTCTCAAGAAGCAGAGCCAACATCCGCTGCAACTTGTCCAAAGACCAGATCTTCTTTCCCATCTCTCTGGCACGTAAGAGGACATCCATGTTGCGTTTCGGTTGGTTTAATGGCTCAACTTGAGCATGTGATGGCATCTTTCGGGCTCGGATATCTCCGT